TTGCACGAAAATTAGATTTATTTTTAGCTCAAACTGAACTCAATCAAATTCAATAATGACGACCCAAGCTTATTAAGACAAGCATGAAATAAAAATAAGCTAGTAAAAAATCAAATTCTAATGCACATGCCAACTAGTATGAATCCATGCAAACATTCATGCATGCACGTAGGGGTGCAAAATTTGCCAATCGAGCGCATTGAATTCTATTCAACTAAACCCTACGATTCCAAAAGCCCAAATAGACTTGGGCAAGCCAATACTAATAATAGCAGACTTCCCATTAAAACCCTAAATTAATAAATGAACAAGCTCGATATCCAAGACAAACTAAAATTACCTCAAATATGTTCAAGTCAAATTTTGACTGAGAGATGTATCTTTTTCATTACGGGGAGGGGGGAGAGAGCTTATCCAATCAAGCATAAAAACATCATTAATTAATAATATGAACAAAAGCTTACTCAGTAAAATAGTAGAAAGTTATAATTATGAGGCATCATTGATTCAAATTCCTCTTCCAAGCTTGTTTTCATTTTAATTAGGGTCATTCAGTGGTTGTGGTCAAAAGCAAAAAGGGTAAATGGCAACGACAAGTGGTTAGGCAAGCAATGTGGCAATAGATAGTGGGGACAGCCAATGGTAGAACCTGCCTAACAAAGTTAGGTAAGTAAATGAACCAAAGGCTAGGAGGGAAGACCTGCATTGCCATTTTATATGCTTTAAAATGATAAACAAGTTCAATGGTCAACGTTGAGCTCATTAGAGTCATCAATTTACGCACATATAAATTAAGAGCATTTAAAGGGTGTCATGCTTGTGAGCTGATAGGCCGACCCAACCAACTTACAAACCTATGTGTACCTTTTTTCATTCATGACTTAATTTCTCTTGAATCATGTCCGCTAAAAAAACTTTTACTTCCTCTTTTAAGTATGAATCATTTCATAAATGCATCAAAATAAATGAAACATATAAGTATGTAGGTTAACGAATTTTTTTTAGAGAATTGAAAACAATCAAGAATCAGGTTGACGCTCAACTTGGATATAACCATGCTTATTTATCAAGTAAGCATAAAACTAAGCTTACATTGGTTCAGAAGTAGATTGTATGGCTCGAGCCAATTTTATGCCTAGGTTAGACTGGCGGCTCAAAACTAAATAATTAACAATTTTGTGTGTAATGGAAGTTAGACAATAGATCAAGAGCGGCCTACTTGAACTTTTCATTCGAAGCCATTAAAAAGATGAGATCAATATAATTAAATATTTACTTTGTGACCATTTATATGATAAAAAGGATCATATTCATTATTAATCCTTTCCTTTTTCTCCTGATATAATGGATCAGATTCACTATTAATCCATTCCCATTTCCCTTTAACCACTTGCCCCAATATGACTTTTTTGCAACCTTTAACATGGGAGATTAGATCATGAAGGAGATTATCAATCAAAATATCCACTTCAAAGACGTCAATAAAAAGAAGATTCACACAGAATCTGAGCATCGAATCAACCGTCAATTTCTTGATGAGACTATTGAAGATGACGATACTTGGAACAATTTACTAAAATCAAAATAGACATCATTACAAGTCCACAACAACAAAAACAACAAGCCTTTATCCCACTAAGTGGAGTCGGCTACATGAATCCTTTTTCTTCATCGTGTCTTATCGAATGTCATATTTTCATTTAATTCTAATAAATAAGATAATTTTTTATACGATAATTTTTTATACATTTTATACAATATGCCCATGTCTTTTTAGGTCCACCTCTACCTTTCTTAACATAAGTTGAATCTAAAACATCTACTATCCTAACTAGATCATCAAATGGTCGATGTTTAATGTGAGTAAACTACCTAAGACGATTCTCTCTAATCTTATCTGACATTGGAGATACAACAATCCTTTGACGGATACATTAGTTTCTTATTTTATCACAAAGTGTCAAGCCATCCATCCACCTAAGCATTCACATGTCAGCAACACTTAACTTAGTTTTATGCTTCTCTTTTAAAGGCCAACATTATACACCATAAAGCATTGCAGATCTCATCACCATTTTATAAAATTTCTCTTTAATCTAAGTGATGTTTTTCTATCACACAATAAGCCCAATGCATTCCTCAACTTCAACCAATCAACCAACTTGAATTCCACTAATAACATCATCATCTATATCACCATCACATTAACCAATAGACACAAAATATCTAAAACGTTCACACAGTTTAATGATTTGATCTCCCATAGTTACAACTCTGCCACTAGATCTACTACTACTAAAATTACATTCCATGTATTCAATTTTAGATTTACTCAAATGAAGGCTTTTGGACTCTAATTTAGACCTACGTAATTTAAGTTTTTCCTGAACTCATTCTCTAGCCTTATCTATAAGAAGGATATCGTCAATAAAAATCATACAACAAGGTACATCCTCCTGTAAATGTCCATTAAGAGTATCCATAAATAATGCAAGAGGATATAGGCTTAAAGCCGATCTCTGATGTAATCCAATTGAAAGAGGAAAATACTTGGTCAATCCTCATTCTGTTCGACACAAGTAACTGCACTAGTATACATATCTTTAGCGACTTGAATATAAGTCATATCAACACATTTCTTTTCTAGAACTCTCCAAATAACTTCTATTAGGACTTTACCGTAAGTTTTTTTTTTTAATTCAATCAAGATCATATGTAGATCCTCCTTAATCTCTTTGTACTTTTACATCAAACCTCTCAATAAATGTATAGATTCCTAAGTAAACTTGTCTGACATAAATCCAAACTGATTATGAGAAATAATTGTATCGTGTCTTAATCTATGTTCAATTACTCTCTCCTATAGTTTTAATGTATGACACATGAACTTAATTCTTCTATAATTTGTACACTCTTGTGCATCCCGTTTATTCTTAAAAATAAGACCAAAATATTATTCCTCCACTCCTCAGGCATTTCTTTAATTTTTAAAATAATATTAAAGAGTTTAGTAAGCCAAGAAACTCTCAAATCTCCTAAATATTTCCACATTTCAATTGGAATATTATCAGATCCTGTTGATTTTCCACCGTTGGTTTTATTTCAAGTCTTATCATTTTTTTTACTAATGCGACGGTGAAAATAAAAAGTTTTATTATTATTATTAATATTAAGATCACTAAAGTTGATCATATTTTCAAAAACTTCATTGAAAAATTTATCAAAATAACTCGCCCGCCTATGTTGAATATCTTACTATCACCAGGAGCCCACAAAGGTTATTAAATCATTAACGAAGCATCAAACTAAAAATCAATTCTCAAAAGTTGAACAATTAATTGAAGATTATAAGAACCGCACATGAGGTGCTAATTGGTCAAAATCAGATTCTTTTTGCTTCTAATTTTATGTTATCTGGTTTGTTATTTCAACTTTTCCCCTATTATGGAGTTTGTTTGGAATTGAATTAGATTTTATTGATAGACTTTTTTTCTTGCAATGAAATCAGTTAAATTCTTCTCAATCATCTCTTTACTTACTCTCCCTTCTCCATTGGCCAACCTAACAACCAAATTATCGACCTCCCATGCTTCAATCACCCTTATTTCTATGATCGAAACCTTTAAAGTCTCAAAAGCTACAGGAACCCTACAATTGCCACCCTTAAAAAGTCTTGAGGCTGTCTTTAAATGAAAATATCAAGTTATTTGTTGTACCAATCCAAAATAGATCCGAAACAATGGCAAAATCGACACATGAAAAGAAAGTCCAAATTAGAGATGGGGAGAAATTCTCAAAAAGCAAACTTTAATAGGCCACAATGGCTCCTCCCAAAAAATTCCTAAAACCTTATAATCACCTTCTACTCTTTTAATTCTGGATTTTGATCCTTCTAATTAAGGAGTACTTTAAGATCAATCTTGCAACAATAATGACACCAAGATATTACAACAAATCACCAAAATTAATTATGAAGCACGAGAATAATCAAGAGATTGGATATGATGCACAACAGACTCAAGATAAAATAGAACGATAAATATGTTGCTTCTTTTTAGGAAATATAATTTTTTTCAAAATAATGAAATGAGATCACATATACCTTCAACAAGCTAACACAACAAAATAAAATCCTCTCCATGGGAAAAAAAAGATTTCAAAGAGCAAAATATATATCAGTTGAAAGATCCTTGCATATCAAACAATTATATCAACTATGACCAATTTTCTAGTAGCGCCTTCCAAGATCAAGATGAACTATCCTAAAGTATTAATCAGAATGTCAATGACTGTAAGGTATACTGTGGGACAACAGATTATAACAAATAGTGTACTTTCCACATAAAAGTAAATATTCAACAACTTATCGAACAATTTATAACAAATCCTTAAAACAAACTGTTAATATTGATAGAAGAAATGGGGTGAATTAGTATAGTCAAAGCAACCGAGCATCAATCTTATGATTCTACATTTCATTGGTAAAACAACAGAAAACTGTCTCTAATTGTAAATCAAAGTTATGTATAAACTTATAAGCTGTGAATTTACAGGGGTGAACATTTCAGAAGCTAAGAAAATAAAGTATCAATCAATTTAAAGTTATTTCAATCACAAAGACAAGAAAAACCAGATTATATGTGCCACTTACCTTTTCATCATAAACGAAACTAAATAAGGGATATTTAATTAAAGGGGCATTTACATCCATACCAATCAATTCATATGCACTTACAAATCTAACATCTAAATTTTACTTTTTTTTAAATTTATACCACCCAACACTTTCACATCACATCAAAAAAACCAACATTTTTAACTTTGAAACATACTTTTTCATGCATAGGTAAGGTGGCATATATGTTAAAATTAAATTTTTGGAGTTACATATGTATATGTCCAGGACTTGAGTAGTATGTATGCAAATCCTCCTTGATTAAAAATGTCAAAAGTATATGCATACAGTGTTAATACAAAGTACATAAAAAAGGGAACAATACCTAAACTGCTATCAAAATATGACAAGCAGAGAGAAGAGCATGTAGACTAGCCAACAAGCATAGGCTATTAGTCCTCGGTGCTCCTCACCACCTGTAGCCAGCTCCACCAGAAGCTGCGTACACATCCTCGTCGACCACAGAACAAAAACGGCGCCCATAGCAAAGATCACGACTCCACCATGCGGCACGAATAGAGAAATCGCCGAGAAGATGACCATTGGAAGCATGCAGTATCCCACCAGGCTCAGACACCGGTAAAGATCCAAGTTTCCGCTCCTTCCGGCCAGCATGTTAAACACCACGTAAACAAACAGAGCAGCGACGGTAACCCATCCCAAGATGATCCCAAAATGAAACTTCCCGGCAAGCAGTTGAAAGAGACCAAAAGCCATTAGAAAGATAAAGGGGCCAGAGAGATCGGCGTCCTCATGAAGACTAGGATTCACGCGAATGGGGTTTAAGATCGATACTGTCTTTTTCCAGATCTGACGGGTGTTGATGCCAAGCTCCTCGAGCAGAGGCGGCTCATCTTCGAAAGTGCCGGAGGAGATCGTACCACCGTTAAAAACAGGAGCAGCGGAGAATGCCGGGGAGGGTTGCGCGGAACCGATGTCAAACGACATGAAGGGAAGGTTAGGGTTTGGACCGAGGCTCGCTGTTGGTCGTGAAGGCTGGAAAGTTT